GCAGTACACTTTATATTGATTACATTCACATTATTGATAGTCAAGGCCAGTATGAATGGGCTGACCTCAAACCTCTTAATGATTCATTGAACTTCATTAAGTGTTTTGATGGCATACCAGTTGGTAATAACTTAACACTGTATGCATGTGAATTCGCAACCTTTTTCGAGAACTGTATATCTAATTGTCCTGCTGTAATAACTGGTATTAATATTACTAATGACTCTACATCTTCAGTTCTAATGTCATCAGTTCATTCATCATCACTATCACTCACATCAACAGTATTGACTACTCCATCAATGATGTCTGTACCATCTACTTTTTCAGTATCAGCTACTTCATTAAATCCAAGAACTGTAACAGCTACAACTGCTTCTTCATCATATACTACTTTATCAACTACTTCATCATCTACTTCAAGTACTTCATCAGTACTAACTACGTCAACAACTCTGATTACTCCATCAATTACGTCGTCAGTTTCAACTACTTCATTAGTACCAAGAACTTCATTGACTACTTCTACAGTACAATCATCTACTACAACTACAAGCAGTACCATCATAAGCAGTACTACAAATACTGCTACCATCAGTAGCTCTACTTCTATTCGTACCGTTAGATTAACTAGTACATTAGTGACAGGTACAGTGTATGTTCATTTGTGTAGTTATAATGTACTTTATTGTGTACATAGGTACTTCAACTGCTTCATCTCCACTACCTTCCTCCATTACTTTACCATTCCTAACTCCTTCATCTTCATCAAAATCTTCTTTATCCTTTACTTTACAGACTTCTTCATTCATAACTTTATCTTCATCCCCAACTCCTTCATTGACAGCTCCTTCATCCATATCTTCTTCTTCATCAATTATTGGACTGGCTTCTGGAGCATCAATTGCACTACTAATTATAATAATTGGTATGTACATTATAATCAAATGTTGTCATTAATATGTACATTGTAGTTGTTATAGTAATTGTAGTGGTAGCAGCAACAGTTCGATTTAAAAAGAGAAGAGGAAGAATGGAAGTGATTAATGATGTTACATTACTGAAGAGGAATAAAAATAATAATCAAAGTACTCTAATTTATTTATTCATTTATAAACAAGGTTTACTAATAGGTTCACAAGAGCAAGAACTATCATTAGTTAATCCACAGTATGAGAATGTACATCTACCAGTTCCACAATCAGAACTATCAATGGAAGAATGTGCTGCTTATGGTGTAGTGGAAGGTACTAGATTCCCACAGTATGAGACTG